CTCCCCCTGGCCCATCTCACGGCTGGCAGCATGACAAATGCTGCGTTAGACACTCTGCTACCATGTGGCCTGTTTCGGATTAGGCGGGAGATCGCGGCGGAGATGTTTACACTGCCCATCAGTGCCGGTACTTCAGCAGACTGCAAGGTCATGATGGAAGAGAGAGACCTGTGCACACGGTCAATGGGGAGAGGTTGAGAGTGCCAGAGGTAATTTAAAACAGCGGCTCCTGAGGGACACATTACCCACAAGACCAACAAAGAGACCCAAAGGTTAGAGATAGCGTCAATGAGAACAACATGGAGAAGCTCGAAAAGACTGAGCTACGCATCTCAACATTTTTTGTAACACTGTTTCAAAAAATCAGTGCTGATAAATAGCATTTGGAAGTCTGATTGGTTTATTCGGACAGTTTGTTTCAATTAATCAATTCAATAAATAAATAAATTACGGATTCATTTAATTTGCCATTCAGAAGTGTTCCCAGACATTTTTTTTTTTGGGGCTTATAGCTTGCCCAGCCCTCTTTGTCATTCCAAAGATGTTTGACTTTCATTCTTCTGTGGAGCCAAAAAATATATATTTTTTTTAAATAATGTTAGAGACTAAACAGTTTTGGTAACGACTGACTGCTATGGGCAAAAACAGTGAGACATTTTTTTTTTAATGATCTTCTTTTATGTTCTGCAGAAGAAAGTAAGTTACACTGGTTTGAAACAACATGAGGGTGAGTAAATAATGACAGAATCTTTATTTTTGGGTGAACAATTCCTTTAAATACTTGTGTTTATCATTATGTTTTTAATTAAGCTATATAAAATATCAATCAAAAGTTTGGACCTATTAACTCATTCTTTATGACCATTTCCTCATTTACAATAATCAAGACATTGCAACTACGACATTTATAGTGTATCTTATTAAACTACCTTACTACTGTATTTTAGCTTCTGTCATGACAAAATACAGTTCTGAATGCTGTTGATATTCTTGATATACCATATATGATATACCAATCTTAAATTGTATTTATACTTTTGTTTTGTAAAAGTAAAACAAAAGTATTAATACTTATTTTTATTAATATTTGTGCTATCAGATACAAACATTTGACAAAAACTTGACAATTATATTAGAATGATTTCTGAGGGATCATGTGACACTAAAGACTGGAGTAATGGCTGCTGAAAATTCCGTTTTGCCATCACAGGAATAAATTACATTTTTAATACATTCAAATAGAAAACAGTTGTTTAAATTGCAATAATGTTTACTGTTTTACTGTATTTTTTTATCAAATAAATGCAACCTTGATGAACAAAGACGCTTCTTTCAAAAACATTAAAAATCTTAATTATTACAAACTTCTGGCTGTCAGTTTATGTCTAAACATTCTTTATTTTAGAAATAGGTTCTCGTAAAACTATCTTGGAAATTTTTATATTTTTATCATGCCTTTATTTTTGCTTTTTTCAAATGCCTTATGTGTAGATATTATTGTTTAACTCTTGTCCCATTTTTTAAATAAACTATAACTAGTACAGAATATTTTTATTGTGTCATGTAACACAATATATATAAAAACTGTGAAAATATAGTAAAAAATTGTGTGGATTTAAAATACATAAAACACTAGCTGGGAAATCAGCTTTAGTATGAAGGCCATTTTCCTGCAAAAAAAAAAAAAAATTATATATA